AAACATTAACCAATGACTAACACGAGATGATCCTATTCCTAGTCTGAATTCATATGAAAGTCATGCATTTAGTTTAGATTATCAATAAGATTCGAGATTATTCCTAATTCTAACTATAAATGTTGATTTTATCGCATTCTAGACTCATTGTGAGTATTCTTACACCACAAGAAGCAACTAACTACATAATTGGTGATCAAGCAATAAATAGTGCAATGTGTATGTAAAATCATTCAAACAATAAAATGAAAGTCATAAATCGAAGTCTTGAATTGAAATAAATGAAAATAGGGTTCAAATATTCATCTAATACAATCGAAAAACCTAGCCAACCATCCTAATTTATTAAATTATATAGAAATAATGAAAGAACATCACCTGCATTGAAGAAATATGGAAGAAAGTGGAGAAAATGAATCTTGATTTTGGACGGATAATCTTCAAGAATCTTACACAATTCCCTTAATATTGATGATCTAGCCTTGTTCTTTACCTCCTGAATAGATTAAATATAACGATTTTTAGATCTAGGGAGGTCTCTCCACGTTCTGAATAGATTATGGTATTTAGTGTATGCCTAAAATATTGTTATCAAAGTAGAGTTTCAATTGGAAAAATAAACAAAATCTTGCTTCGGAAAAGTACTACGCGGTCACATGTACAAAAGGAAGCCTCTACTTAGAAGAAATCATATATGGTCCTGGGAGCTCTGGAGGCTTAGATGTGGTAACATTTAATTAAACCTATGCGGGTATAATTTTTTTTGTCGGAAAAAATTCAATATTTTGGTCAATCTTTCTCTCCCAATATCTGATTGAGGTAATTCAAAATGAGTTGTAAAACTAACTCAAAGGACTACGAATCTTACAATTGAGACTAAAAATTCAAAGTATAACTTTTTCAATCGAAAGTTGATATGTGATAATACTTTGACTATATTTTATCCCTTGGACATATTTCTTCATCCAATTGACCCATAACACTTTTGAATCTTCATCGTGAAGTTCGACACAACATTTAAGTATTTGTACTTTAGTCCTCGAAATTTGTTTTGCTTTATTTCAGTTATTTTCTCTTGTAATCTTGTTCCAATATCTTCCAATTGTATCAAATTAAAACCTTGGCATCTTTGATCTTCATTTTGTTTCCCGTCTCATCTATGGATTGTTTGAAATTTAATCCTCGAATTTGAATTTCATCCCCCCTTTCACTATTTTTGCATTCTTTTCTCAAATTCTTCATCAAACATCGAATTTTACCTTAAAAATGCATTATAACAAAAATTAGGTTGCATTTTATTCAAAAAACAGTAAATTATAATCTTTTAGGACTCGAATAAATGTAGAAACTACACTTATTAAACCCCCAAACTTGAATCTTTGTTTGCCCTCAAACAAAACTAAAACCAAGAAAAAACAATGCAAAAAGTTGTAGCTAGCAAATCCGACTTTTTATCTTAGAATTGAAATCACAATATTAAATATATGCATAGTTTCACAATCACAATGAAGAAATTGAAATATACTTTTCCAATGTAAAATCGACGATGTGTGTGTGAAGAATTAAGCATAGTATCATGAATTCATAAGTAGTTTCAATTCTCGATCCTCAATGATCAAATATGTTCTATTATCACTCATAAGATTCACCCCTCAGACTAATTATTTTCACTCTTTTCAACTTGGTTATTTAAGGTTGAATTGTTATACTATCATCACCTCTCTAGTTTAGGTAAATCTTACTAATTACAAGTCAATACGTTAATAAACTAGGATTCTCTATAAGTTTGATTGCTTTAATATCCAGAATTCAACTAGGTTAATAATCCCTTGTCAAAAGTTAAACAAGTATTTGAGACTTAACCAAAGCATTCGGTGCGCCTTTCGTTTAATGCATCTGCCTTTTTTATTTTTTTTCTATTTTTATTTCAACATTTTTTTCTTTATTTGTGACATTGTTTTCTAACACCCTTACATGCTTAATAACTTGAATAATAAAGGCTACAAATAGAAAATTTCAAATAAAATATTTTTTAAGCCTTGATTAATACAATATCCCTCTTTAAACACCTATCCAAGCAAAACGACCTCTAA